TGAATATAAATCACTCTGAAAACATGTTTCCAAAAATCTTCAGGAAGACACTTACAGGACCCATTACACATATGATTCTCTCTCTCAGGAGGCGAGAGTAGATGTCATATGCTCGTTCTCCTCTCCCCTGAAACAAAACAAACAAAAAACGAAACAAAAGGAGAGGATTTTAAATCAAATGACAAAGATGTTCTCTGTGGATTACAGGTCTGAACAGCACAGTATCTCAAATACATACAGAAGGTTCACAAATATGCTGCCGCAACACAAATTCATGTTTTTACATCGATATTAGCAGGAATAAAGCCACTTATACAGATGTCTGTCTTTGCTTTGCCAAGCAAACAAAAATTCTCTCATCCTAAATCTTCATGATTCACACCTGTTTAAATTATTTTTGTGCAACATTTTTGTTTGCAGGAGAAAAGAAACAATCATGTATTTATATTGTATATACACCTCTATACTGACTGTATATACACTTCTACTAAACACAGAAAGTCCTGCTTCAGCCGTTCAAATGATCACACTCACCGTCTGCTCCACGACTATGGGTATGAGTGGAGTCCGGCATATGGAACTGTGGTGGATGGATCTGCTGTGTGTCAGTGTCAAAGAACCGATACGCAACACCTGCTGAAAGACAGACAAAAAAATCCTCCCAAGATATAGGATCAACAACACTCCCAAAAGTTCAGTAACTGCAGTTTCCAGACATTTGATAACGACTGTGTTGAGTCTGTTCCTTCCCATTCCATTCAAGGCCACCTGGGTTGGCAGGAACACTGTTTACTTAGCCTGGCAGGGCGAAGGACACTGTCTCAGCTGAACTATGGACACGCACACACATACATATACTGATACTGATAAGCACTCACCGACGCATCACCCTCCCTACCCCGGATCCAACGCCACCTCCAACGCTTACCTCCCCTCTGATGTGGCCATCGGGTCAGTTGGAGGTGCAGTCGAAAGATTGCAGCGGTCCCAGATCAGATGTACACACTGGAACTCTTTCCCATGTTGCTTGTCTGTGTTTATTGTGCTATGGTGTGTTGATATCTGTGCATTCCTGTATTATCATTTTGTGTTACACATTTCGATGTTTGTTCCTCGCTACCTAGCCTGACCTGTCTCCCCAGTGTGATGTTTGTGTATTGTATGTACGGTCGGCAAGGTCTGTCATCTCGGTTGTGGCCAAAGACCTGCAACTGACAAATAAAGGCTATCTCATCTCATCTCTCATTTACAGACTGCTGTTGCCACCTAGTGTCAAGCATGGCTCAGTCCTATCTTTTGGAAAAAAGCTAGGACCGGGAAAAACTTTGCCCAGTTTGTTGGGTCTTCATTTCTGCTGAGACATTTAGATGGTAGAGTCTGAATATGGTGTAAACAACATAAAAGCATATCTCCATCCTGCTTTGTATAAACTGGTCAAACTGGTATAATGGTGTGGACGATACTTTCAGTGAACATTTTGGCCCCTTTAATACTAACTAAGCATCATTTATAGGGCAGAAATGACCATGTACAGCCTTATATGATCTGCCCATCTTAATCGCTGCTTCCAGCGTGATCTCAGACTGGTTTCTTGAACACGACAATGGATTCACTGCACTTAAATGAGTCACAAGATCTCAGTCCAACAGAGCACTTTGGGACGTAACAGAGATTCATATCATGAATGTGCAGCTGTCAAACCTGCAGCAAGTGCATGACACTATGTGTGACCATATGCATCATGTGAATAAAGGCCAACATCTCTAAGGGATGTTTTCAGCACTAGTTTGTTTTTAAGTGACAGACTAAAATTGCTTAAGGAGCAAACATGTTCATAAGTTCACAGCTGTCCTCGGACTAAAAAATAATCCAGAGAGAATTTGCTCATAGAGTTCTGATCATGAGTTGAAACTTTTTTTCATACGACTATTTTGAACACTCTTTGTACAATCAAATAATAATAACAATAATACAAACTAAAAAAACTAAAGAAGCACCGCGTGGGGAGAAAGCCCCACAAACTGCTTTTAAGCTCGTTGTGTTTGCTGATCGGGCTCTCTGTGATCCTCAGTGCTGTTAGCGTACAGAGCTGGCAGCTTTAACCTCCTAGGACCTGCGTCCACATATGTGGACATCACATTTTGGGTTATTTAGACCAAAATACTCAATTTCGCTCTACAAGGGCCTGATATCCACTTACGAGGACATTATACTGCTACTGTTCTATCGAAATTTTAAACAAATATCCTCATATGTGGCTCTCATTTTTCTTAAAAATAAGATAAAAATAAAAATCTGGTAATTCTTTGTTTTTACATTCATCGAGTCCCAATATGCCCAAATATCAAAGAGAAATTAAAAATGCATGTCGTGGAAGAGTTCGAGTCTTAGGAAGTTAAAGGTGATGCCATCAGACTTATGTCACACAAGCTGTTAGCTAACATCATCAACACGACAGAATAACAACACAAACCGCCGAGTACACATATAACCAGTTTGTGATGTGTCGTCTGCGGACAGTCAAGCTTACTGGAAAGGTTTTCAATACTCACTCGTAACAGCATTTTGAAGGATTTTAGGGTTTAGCTTTCCTGTGTGACCCCGGAGCTCCTCCGGAACCAATTTCAACTTCTTCTTCTTTTGGGTTTATTGGCACTTATCCAACGGGTTTGGAGGTGCTATACCGCCACCTGCTGACCAACCTCATCGTGCTGGCTTTCTTCGTCTGTCAGTTGGCAAACCACGTAATGGTGCGTTTAACCCGGCTAACGCTGTTTCCTCAAACTTCGTGAGCACCTAAAAGAAAAAAGAGTTCCATTCAGAGGCACTTAGTCCAGCTACAAATCTATATAGTATGAAGAGGAAGCACGTGTTAAATAATAATGGTGAGGATTAGGAAGAGGCAAATTAGTGAAAAATCAGGCACCAAGTATTTAAGAGCCTTCGTTTGAAATTAGTTTAGTTAGATTAATTAATTAGAATAATTTGTGCTTTGTTGTACAGTACTGTACAAAAGTATTGAGTCATATTTTGCTAGGATAATAGGATAGAGGTAAACGGACTGGTACTTACACAGCACCTTTCTACTCAGTTTTAGCACTCAAAGTGGGTTCTACTGCAAATCTCTTTTAGTACTTTGACACACGCATTCATTCAGTATGTTTATCTATACACAAGCACTTTTATCTAATATTCCCACACAAATACACTCAAACTCTGATGGATGCATTCAAAACATTGCTACACCCACTCTAGAACCCGAGCCTCAGGTCCAGTGATGTATTGATAATGTGTCAGTTTATATAGAAATACAGTATATAAGGCAAAAACAGAGTTTGCACAATTCTAATGAGCTTGAAAGTCAGTAAATGCTGATTTTCAGTTATTTTTCAATGCATGCTCTCTGTTTAAGCAGTCTAATGTCAATATGACCTGAAGAAGTCACTCAGATGAGTGACAAAATGTTTCTCCCACTAAAAACACTACATGTGTATAAGCAGACTCAACTTTCTGGGAGTTTTGCAGGCTCATTGAAAGATATTCCAAAGCCCTTTCTTTGAATGTTGTCAAGCTTTTGTTTTGTTCTCTATGAAGATGATCGTACACTGCTTCAGTAATGTTTATCTTGAGGTTCTGAAGGAGCCAGTCTATGACTGAGTGCTGCACTTTGTGTTTACTCTGGGAATGTGTTTGAAATTACTGTCATGTTTAAAAATTAGGCTGTTGCTAATCATATGCTTTCCAAATGGTAATGGATGTTATCTCATAATCTGATGCCAGTTTTCTGTGACCATAATTCCATCTATTTTGATAAGATCCCCAACACCACTAGCTGAAATTTCAGCCCCAAACTATGACATAGCCTCCATTGTGTTTTGCACAGAAGACAATCACTGCTGAACCTCACTACTGATGGCCCCGATACAAATACTGGGATGTTTTGCACCAAAATTTTCAAATTTGGATTCATTGCTACATAAGACCTGTTGCATGTGACTTTCACTGGAAATCCCCTTGTGAGTGCAGAAATACAATTTTATGGTTTTCAAACTGTGTCCCTGCCTCGCCACTGGGAGATGTACTGAGATAGGGAGCAAAACATCCAATGCTCGTAGCCTCCGGCTGATGACCGTGCAGCTGACAACCGTGCAGCTGACCCTTGTTGGCAGAGCAAGTGCACAGGCTTAGAGCAGGAGAAACATCACACCTGTAAAAGAATCTGAGCACTCTTGGAAACCAGTGACCTCTTCAAAAGGACAGGTGACAACTGGGAAAGGCTGGTGGATGACTAGGAAAGGCCATCTGCCAGCAGGAAAGACTCCAACAAATTCAAATTCAAATTTTATACAGAAGTGGGTTTCTATTCACCTTACCTCAGGGGCTACATGAAGCCCCATAAAGCACCATTTCTTGACCGTAAATAAGCAGAAAGGAAGTCAACCCATGGAGTCTCTGAAAGTGAACAGGTGCTTCAGCTGTGCAGATATCTGGAGGATGTCACAGAGTAAGCTCCACATCCCCTCTATCACACCTACTGGTTGGGTAAGGAAGAAGACTCATCGAATGGGAAATCTCCAGCACATTCTGTCAGTGTCCCAGGGAAGCTTGGTGGCACTATGATCATGTCCTGCCGAAGACACGGAACCAAAGAGCTAAACACAAAGGCTGGGTCACCAAACCAGGACCATGACAGTGTGTTTTTAAAGACTAAACCCTTTCTATACAATTTGTATTACAATTTCTGTGATGTGTTGTCTTTACTTCCTACATGAGCCTAAAGTCATTTTATTTTTATTTTATTTCACTCTTTTGTTTTATTTAGTCATGGAAGCAGCAACTTTGTAACACTGTCAGAAAACGAAAGTTTATTACTGTGTTATAATGGAGTATTATATTTTTTTAACTGAATGGTCCAAATACTTTTTCAGTCATGAACACGAACAGGGTTTTTATTTTGAAAGCTTGGACCGGAAGATGTACTTTCCTACAGCCCAAACTTGGAACATAAGTGCAGTTGTCTACTTGCCCCCTCACTCTGTTACTTGGATATAATCATGTCGAACAACAGCGCCGCCAACAGCAGTTTAGTCATCGCTCAGAAGGCAGTGAAACAGCTTCGTCTGGAGGCCAGCGTCCGCCGGATAAAGGTAAGCTCACCTCGCTTCACAGCTGAACTCAACACTTTATTACTCCGCTGCCTGCGCGTGACTCCCGCCCTGAAGCACAACCTAAGCTTAACGTGGCGCCCGACGCAGCTAATTAATCTGTCAATTAGCGTCAAAGTGGGAACATTAAAATTCAAAAGCTATTTCAGTGTTTCAATAAGTGTTCTGTGTTTGCTCTTGTTAAAAGTATACAGCCTATACACTCACTAAAATGAATTATTGAATTATTTATTCCTGCATTCACAAAGGACATCAAACGACCTGATACGCACACCACTGCAATAACCTATATTTTATTCATTCCCATGTTAGCGTGTTTTGAAAGCCATTCACAGTGTCATCTCTTGGTGTGCAGTGGAAATGGTAGCAAAACAGACTTTTCTGTAGGAGCAAACACAGTGGCAGCTTTGTTAATTGTGGTGCTGCGTGACTGGACTGATTGTTGGGTGGCTACTTATTTTAGAACAGAAGTCAGACCAGTTTCAAGTGTGTCTGTGTTTGGTGAATTAAAAGAAATCACACAACAGTTTCATTCAGCAGACAAGTTCTTGTAATTTGTTACAGTCCGAAAACCAAAACACACACAGAAGAATTTAATTTGTGATGTTAGTTTTGTAAGTTTTGCAACATTTTCTTATGGTTTCTGTGTTAAACTGGGGTATTGGCACCTCAAGTGCCATGTGATTGGCTGATTAGATATTTGCATTAACAAGCAGTTGAACAGGTATGCTTAGTAAAGTGTGCAATACCTATTTATTGGAAAAGGAAATGACAATTCCATGTCTATTGACAGCATGTACAGTACTGTGCAGAAGTCCTGAGCCACCTCTCACTTATTTATATTTGGCTAGGACTTCACTTTTATATAATGCAAAATCAGAGTTTGTAAAATTCTGACAAGCTTGAAAATCAACATTTTATGTGATCACATCTATTCTTCGATACAGTCTGTACTTTTTTTTAATTAGTAATCTTCAGGAAAGGTTCTCCAAGATTTTCTAAAAACAGTTCTTCTTTGGATGTTTGCTGGTTTTTGTTCCATTCTCTGTCAGGATGATCCCACATAGCTTCAGTGTGTGTGAGTGTGTTTTATTTAGCTATCCTTTTACTGCGTTGGCAGTGTGTTTGGGCTCATTGATCAGTCGCTTTACAAGTGGTACTACATAATAAATCAAAGTCTGGTTTTTACTTTTCTGTGTCCATAATTCTGTTAGTTTTGATACGATTCTCAACACCATTAGATAAATCCAGCCCCAGACTGTGACACGGCCTCCACTGTGTTTACTGTGCTATTTGGGATATGCCAACAAAACAAAAACAACCAAAACTCCACATCACATACTGTGAATATTTCTGAGGAGTTATTGTAGCACTCTTCTTTTAGTTATAGTACTTCTTAGTTAACACTAACACTTGCTTTCAGGTTTCTCAGGCTGCTGCAGAACTGAAAAACTTCTGTTTGCAAAATGCCCACAAAGACCCTCTCCTCACCGGGGTGCCCTCCAGTGACAATCCTTTCCGGCCTCCCAAGTCATGTGTCCTCCTCTGAGGTATGAGTTTTTATATATATATTTGTGCTCTTTTAATTTTGGAAATGCTAAACAATAAGCTTGTTATTTATTAGAGCACAAGATGTATCCCTCTGAGCTAAATCTACTTGTTCTCTTTGTAGATCCGTAGAGTGCATTCAGGCAGTCTCCTCATTGTTCTAACGTGGATTTCTGTCATGTGCGCCGCCACTGTTGAAGATAACGAAGACCTAGTCAGTGAGGGAGTTGATTAAATGATAATGATTTCAGGTGAAACATTTAGCCAATCTTATTTTAATTATTTGTGTGTTTCTGCATTCTGCATTTCTGTTTTGAAGACCTGTGGAATAACATTTTTAACAGTCATTATCAGTGGATGTGCAATTGTATTTGGCACTATATAAATAAAATACAACTGAATTAAACCGGATGAAAACTCACACAGCTGAAAACAACATGACTAGAAAAATTCCCATGAAAATTACACCTTAAAATACAAACCTAAGCAGTTTATTCCCATTTATAGATGTTTCCCAGGATCAAGCAGCAACCTCTAGACTCTAGAGTTTAGAGTCTAGACTTTAAAAATCAAGAAACAGAAGTTCCTCTAATGACCACTTGGCTCCAAATGTCATTTAGTTTGATTTAAAACAGAAATAAATGTGTTTACTCAGACTATTCAAATATTTTTTTATGTTACTTAACACTACGAGCAGCTAACTGCTAGTGTTGGTAAATAACATCCAAATATAACTTCAAACAAACCCACTGGCTCCATTTATCTTTAGTCTATGTCCAGAACAGGTGTAAAACAATCGTTTTAATCTTTATTTCTTTATTTATATATTCATTTTTTGTCAATTCTTTCAAGCACTAGATGAAAACATTCAATATAACTCAATTTCTGAACAACTGAGTTTAACGCATGTATTCCCGTCATCAGTCAGAAGCTGACTGTCTGTAATCATCTATTTTTACCACTGAAAATGACCACGAGTTAATTCAGATATGAAGGAACTAACTGAGCATAAATGAAGCTCATTGGACACGGAGCGTACTACACAAATGACCAGCCATCAGTTTGTGTCAGAAAGCCCTCTCTAAAATGTATTTGAATTCATATCATAACATAAAGAACAGCAAATGTTTTATGGTGACTTTATTTACAGTGTAATGAAATGTGCCAGATATGGGCCCTTGTGTTTTTTACACCTACTGTTGCTTGCACTGTCATTTAATTGCTACTATGCATGTATCACATTAAATTATTACCCTAACAATCTGTATGTACTTTGTTTCCTTTCCGTTTGCTTTCTCCGTTTTTTTAAAAATGTAATACAAAATGTACAAAAGATATCTTCAAAAAATGAAGATGTACTATGTTTATACATTATTAATAATGTAGTGGTCAGTGTTTAGGATGTGAAAAGCTAATGGCTATTATGGAAATGGGGAAGCGGACGCAAGAGTTAATGAATCACTATCATGAATAGTACTCGTCGCCATTGATCGGTGGTCATGACGTTAACAGGCCTAAAACTGAGCCTGTGGCTCCATGTTAGCCTGCGATGCCTGTGTCACTCACTGTGCATCAGCAGTGTTTAGAAGGTTGGGGAAACCTGCAGTAAGCTGAAACTCAGATGAGTGATGACACGTTTCTCTCACTGAAAACGTGTCCAGATGAGCTGAATCAACTCTCTGGGTTTTACTCGCCTGGATTATTGGATTAGAGTTCCGCTGTATGTTTAAGTTGCACTTCTATCTTCTGAACCAAAGTCTAACTTTATTTTTCTTGTTGCAGGCTCTTCTTGAGAATCTGCATTTCGGATGTTCGAGCAATCAGTTCATGCTCCATTGATTAAAAATAAGTGCCTTTTCTGAGAAGTGTTGATGTTGCAGTGCTGATGCATGCTGGGAAATACGTATATTACTTGTAATTCCTGCCCCTGCTCTTGGTCATTTTTGGAAAATACCCATGAATTGGTTAAACTCAACAATGCAACAATTTGTTTTTCAGGGAGTTCATCATGTTTAGAAAGCCAAAGCAAAAAAGTGATGTTCAAATAAAGTACAAGGCCAGGATTTTGGTCTCGAGCAAAGCCTAAAAAATAAAGTTCTGATGGGTTATTTAATTATGAAACACTGTGCCCACTCATATTACCGAATTTCCCAGAGGAATCCACCCAAGGGATTAACAAAGTTCTATCTTATCTTCTCTTATATGTTGAAAATATGCACTCACACAAATACATCTAGAAGCTGGTCCACTAGAAATGATAGTCTCAGTGGTTTTGTGGTGCGCTGACCCCATACAGTCGGAGAGCACCTGCAGGTAATGGGCTTCTCTCTGTTGCCTGCTTACAGACATTACAGTCGTCTTTATGTTATATTAGTAGGGCTGGATCTGTGTTGAGCTTGTACTAGTCTAGTTGAAGAAGCTGGTAAGTTTATAACCTGAGCTAGAAAAATGTGTTACTGTCTGTGGTTAATCTCTATGGTGCTGATCAAAGGTTTTGTTTTTACTATTACGGCGTGTGTCTGTGTGTGAGTGAGAGGGGGTGCAGGTGGTGACGATGGTGGTTAGGGGGGGTGAGATACCGTGTTTGCTCTTGTGTAACATGGCGATAAAGAGACCCTAAAAACAAATAGCCAGCTGTGGGTGTCGGGCAGAAGTACAGTTTTCGTTTGGTTTTTAGGTTGTTGTTTTTTTAATCGTCAATAATAGATATATTTTAATCTCCATGATAAAATTTGATTTCACATGCCGTATTGCGCGATGGTGTTTACGCAATGCCCATTTCTAGCCGCCAGGTGGCACTGTTGCAAAGGCTTATCGCGTTGGTGCCCAGTGTGCCTCCAGCAGAGAGCAGTGCTTGGTTGGATGTGAGCGCCACAGATCTGTCTCTACTTCCAGAGCGAAGATGGCGGTCTCGGTATTCCGTGGCGTGCGGCTTCTCTCCATTGGAGACGCGAATGGAGATATACAGCGGCACTCAGAGCAGCAGCCGCTGCGGTTAGAAGTGAAGACATCACAAGATGCTGCCCTCCTCAATCTCTCCAATGGTGAGTTGACCCTTTTCCGCAGTTGCCGCAGATGGTCGGCCTGACTCAACTGCCGCGCCGCTAATGCTATTGCAGCGTTAATGCTTACAGGCTAAACTGCCAGCGTTAGTAGCCGAGAAGCTAACGCATCTTGAGAGACCACGTCGCCACCTCCTGCTTGTCACGAGGAAGCTCTTAAAACCCCGTTTTATCACCGTCCCGTAGGTGTTTTAATGTTGCTAACTGTAAGCTCTCGCCATTCGCACGAGTTCAGTGCTTTGAAGACCACGGGAAACGTATAACGTAACACATACAACGTAGCTTAAGCGCATCAGTAAGCAGGGTAGCTAAGTAATGTGTACTTTAATGCTAGTTAAACAATGCCACTAGCCTGGCCTCAGCGGTGATGCGCCAACGTCCCGCACATTTGCTTTTTGTGTTTTCTCCCTGTTTTCCCCCTCCTATCTCACCAACGTGTATTTTGTCTCACAAATATGTTCAATATATTAATATGTAAACGAATAGACTTTGTGTTGTCTAGAGACACCCGATGGACGGGTTCGAGTGTTTAGCTCGTGGACTAGCCTTCCCGATTGTTTTGGAGCCCAGAGCAGAGGGCATCACTCCTGACCCGCTCCGATGTGTTGTAATCCTTGGGACGACTCGCCGTCATCGCTGCTCTTTATTTTAGCCATCAGCACGTTCCCTTGTAAAACTTGCACTCTGTGTGCTGGTATAAGTTCGTAATGTTTAAGGTGCCAAGACGAAACCGGGCCCTCATTACTTATGCGTTTATCTTTGTTCTCGCTGGAACAATAGCCGGGTCCCGCCGCCTCCTTCCCTCCCGTGTGGAGGCAGCAGCAGAGCCGCTCCGCTCCTCCGCGGCTTTTCTGTTGAATGGGATGTCCCGCTGAAAAGAAACGGCCGCGCTGGACTCGCCTTCTGCTTCACATGCTCAAGTTCAAGAGAAGCACAACTGTGCGCCCAGGTTTCAGTGTATCATATCAGACCGTAGAGCTTTCTTCTAAAAATGATTTTCAGAGAACACAAGTTATACAAACTAACTAGGTTTGCCGCAAATAACTTATGTCATTGATTTTACACACAGTCTGGTTCAAATTGTTGGGCAGTATTGCTGTGTGGGTAACGCAGACCTTTCCGGAGCTGTGTGTAGTCTAGTAAATTTCCACAAGTGATGTCACTTACATTACTAATGGGCCAGGTCTGAAGTCTACCAGCTTTGAAAGAACGACATCTGGGGGTTTGGTTGGAAAGAAAGGCGCTTTACCAATCCTCTCCAGCAGGCTCGTCTCTGCTGGAGACCCTGCACTCATGTGCTCCTCCGATGCTTGGATTTCCTGTATGGTGAAGTCTTCTGCCCTCTTTGCTGGGCTCACGTGATTTAAGTTTAAATGTAAAAAGCACTTGATTTGTCTTTGACTTAGAAAGCGTTACAAAAACAAACTCGTATAACAAATTCAGGTCACTATGTGGAAATATTAAATATTAGTAAATAATGGAAAAAGCCTAATGAAATATAACCACTTAATTGTTAGAAAAATGTCATTTGATACACACATTAGCACCATTAATAAAACATCTGTCGTCTCTTTGTGTGTGACAGCTCGGGAGCTCCTGTACCAAAACTCCAACAATCTTTCCAAGATGTTTTTTTTCTTTTTTGGACTTAAGTAGGAATTCATGCCAGTTTTTGGAGATGTGAAGCAGATTTTTCCCTGTAATTTTAGCACCACATGAATGCACCATTACAGGGGAACAAGCAAAGACTTTTCAGAGGACTTGTTAGTGAAGTGTCTCTTGTGCTGTAGTAAGCCTTACAATCCCTGTAGGATGTTTTAGAGGGGAGGTCTGTGTCCAGTGTTCATGCTTTACTGAAATACATAAGAATATTGCACTTTTTTAGACTGCTGTCTCAAATGATATATTTAAAATGTCATAATTAGAAACCTTTAACTTTCATGCTAGTCTGAAAGTCCATATAGATTAAAAAAAATATATAGATCGATAGATATAGACACTGGATGTGCAGTCTGACTGGCTGACCATGCAGTGATGTGCATATTGTGTATTGTCATTTCCTGTCCAGTCAGATTCATGTATCCATGACGTAAAGCCCCATAAACAATCATCACACTCATCACAGCTGAGCAGGTGCAGGCTCACTGTGGGTGAGGCAGTAAGAGGAGACCTAGAGAGGAAGCAGCTTAGTGAAAACTAAGCAACGTTAATTCTGCTCACAGACGACAGCTGCACACAATCATTTTGTGCGAGTTCCAGATATTGTCAGAACAGAAGGCTCATTTCTTTCACTGAATTGATGAAGGTAACAGTGGAGAAATGTTAGCAGGACTGTGTGAAAGTTATAGAACTTGAGCTCCTTCATATGTTTATGTAACAGAGGCCGCCTTATTGAAATTGCTGTTCCTACTAGTACCTACATGGCTCGACTTTTGCATTGGGTAGCAGTTGCTTTTTTTTGTCTTTCAACTATCTGCACGGCCGGGGTCAACCGACTGGCCAGTCAATGGCATCATGAGAGTGACTCCTTCACAAAAATCAAACCGCCATTTTTGAAACCTGGCAATTAGGGAAACGGCTGGACAACAACCAACACTGTGGTCTGACACAAAGCCATAGACTGAGCAGCAGGTGTACCATCGCCTTGGTGTGGTCCATTGTTGCTTTGTTTGTGTTACATGCAAATGATTTCACAGGAATTTCAGTCATGTCGCTGTGTGACCCCAAACTCATTAGGTGGTACTAGAAAATGACAGTAGTTGAGTAGGTACTAGTAGAAAATGGGCTTTGCTGTCTCATGTTGTCATTTAATGGGAAGTTGCATGGATCGTAAAGATGTAGGTCATGGCTAGCAGAAGCCAGCTCGTAAAAAAAGGCCTTAATGACATCACAAGTGCACTGCGTCACCTCAATTTCAGGTGACTGAATGTGTGACATTTCAAAAATGATCAGAATCGACACTTTTGTTCACAATATAGGAACTGTGTGATCCATTGATCCCCTACAGTTGGTCAGTGGACTGCCTGGATCATCTGTCTTTGTACTGAGACGGGTAATTTCTCACATTTTTAAAAAGGTATCTTATCATTTGTTTTGTAGTCTAAGTGGTTGAGAAGAGAACTCACCGACATGCTTGGCTGGCTTTTCTCCCAGAAGATGCATGTCTCTAAATCTGAAGTGTTGGTCT